TAAAAGTTTTATAATTCACGCTACTTTGCGAAAATTTCTTATATTTCTACGACTTTGAAAAAATTTGGGGCAGCGCCTAACCACTAATAAAATCCTGGCTACGCCACCAGTCAGAACTGTGTGTAAATACGGTTGTGTTACAGAGACCGAAACGGGTCTTAGGTGGATGACCCGAACCCGGCCCGAAAAATTTTCGAAACTTGACCCAAACGACCCGAACATTTTTCTTGGATGGCAGTTTTTTCTGGAAAAAAAGCAGAAACCTGTAGCTTTTGTAATAGCGTAAAACATCTCAGACTTTTTCTCCAAGTGATGGTTCATTCATCGTGATAACCCGAAACAGGAAATCATTTTTCTCGAGCGTATATTGTCATGAAGTTTAATCATCACAATGTGGCGCATATTTAAGTTGTTCAGTTTTTTGAATTTACTTATGTTTTCTTTTTCTTTTATTTCTTTGCTTCAGCAGTGCGACACTGTACAGTGTACAATGCACATTACACAGCGTGAAAGCAGAAAGGAAAAAACACTGTACTTCTTTTTCTGATAAAAAAGACATGTGTTGGAAAATAGAAAATAGATTCACAAGATGAGTGATAATCATTACAGTTCACTCATCTTGTGAATCTCTTTCAAGTTGAAGAAAATTCCTTGATTTGTTTTCTAGTGGCAAGACCCGAAAAGAGTCCGAATTCTTTTCCTGTGATCCGACCCGAATCAATATTTTTACATTGACCGGAATCGACCCGTTCGGTCTCTGTTGTGTTATCTACGATTCCACTCATTTTGAAATTTTGAATAAAATTCAGCTCCTTGCTAGTAGGATGATTTCACAAGATCTTAGTAGTTCTTCTATACTCAAATAATTTAAAACTCAACCACTTTCAAACTGACGTTTGTATTATCGCCTTCTCTATTTCTATAAAATTTTCAATCATGCAGGTTGAAATGAACTACCTTCTGTTTTAGCCTGTCAAACTTCTTTAGCCACATTTAAAAATATGCTGAGAGGTTAGGCTTTTAATAATGTTATCTTGTTCACTTATTTATATTTTGCAATTTTTAATTTTAGGTTATCACACAGTATCCACGGATGCCAAAAGTGTTTTGTTCTTTTTTGTGATATCCTGCCCTTGAGTAAAATAAAAGCTTATCTTATCTTATCACATAATTTTAAATGATCAAATGAAGTGTTACGACATACATCACCATCCACTTCGTCGATGACAGCGTCGCATTTCCGTTCTGATAGTTCTTCTTTCACTTTTTTTCTGGTCCTTAGTCGAAATTTTGACGATGAAAATCAGGAATAACGCCGTTGTGAAAACATTTATTCTTTCTTTTCTCCTTTTTTTGTTATTTTCTTGCAAAATGTTTAATAATATCAGGTTGCTGTTTTGTTGCTGAAGCATACATGTGAATCGAAGAATTTAAAGAACAAAACAAAAACGTCTTCGTTCTGTTCTTTCATTTCCTGTGTTTTTGCTTGTTGTGTCGCTTATTATTATCAATATAGTTTTCACAGACAAAGATTAAAGAGTGGTTAAATCGTAGTCGTTTATTTAACAGTAAGCACTATAGAGTCATAACTATCAAAATACTGAAATGTTTAAGACAGCACCAAGAACAATATGTTCCTTTACTTATTTGAATCGTTTTACAAATGAAAAAGAAACCGTTGAAGGTACTGAAATTAGACGACGTATTTTTTATTGGTATGGCCCATGGCTGTATAATCATAAAATTAAATATTATCGAACAAAAAAGTCTTCATTCAAGATCACGATGTTTGATGATGAAGGATGCTTTGCAGTTGATCATGAAAATGGAGTAGTATGGTATTGTCTTAATGGTAATTGGTGCCGTTTTAAAACAGCACGGAATATTCGTACAGAAACTTCAGGTGAACCAAGTTGCACAATTTTTTAATAAGTCTTTTTTTTAATGTTTGCTTCAAATCTACGATACTTGTGCTGTTTGGTTATAAATCAAGATTTTGATTTTTATCAGCTGATGTATCGTATGATGCTCTGCTAGTACTCATGATAACTGTATTACATGAAAAAAATACGCGTGTGCGGATGATGTTTGTGTGTGTGCGAAGGAAAACAAATGACGCTTTTGTAAGAAAATAACAAAAAAACGAGAAAAGAAAGAATAAATGTTTTCACATTACTCACAACGGCGTTGTTTCCGGTTTTCAGCGTCAGAATTTTGACTAAGGACCAGAAAAAAGAATGAAAGAAGAACCGAAAGAAGGATTTTTTTCTCTCTTTTATTGCCCTTATCAAGACGACCTTTGATAAAGCCAAATATATCTTTGTTTTTGTTACTCTGACCGACGACTTACCCTTTTCATGCAATCATCGAAACGTTAACATTTGAGAAAATGCCTATTTGAGGAAAAACTGCCTTTTGAGTTTCGTCGCTGTCATAAAGACGTCTAGCTGATAAAATTAATCATGATCTAGGTTTTCAACCCGTTCTGATACTGTTTGAGTAAATAGTGACGTTTTTAATATTAGGTGAAAACAGTCGAAAATCATAATTTTCGTAAAACTTGATTCTCACCAGATTTTTAAGGTGTTTTCCAAAAAACAACCATTGCTTCCAGGTTCAGCATGATCGATTACCTGTGTTTCATGCCATTCTAAGGCTACGTTAAGCCACCGGCCACCACTGAACTCCAAGAAATTCGATACTATTCCTCAACCAGTGCAAACCAAGCATCGCTTGACTACACTTTGAAGAGAACATTTTGGACTGTCTACCTATGAAGCACTGCTACATTTTCTGGTTATGAAGCGGTATTATAAAGACCCTAGAAAGCCGATTTTCGAAAGCTTTTTAAAATGTTTTGGGATACACCGACATTACCGTGAACGACATTACCGCGAAGGGCGACGAACGACATTATCGCGAATCGATATTTCTGTGACGACATGTGTATAGGAAAAGAAGAATAAATGAGCCCGCTTTTGTATTTTGCACATCATGTTTTCCAACTTAAGTGAAGTTATGTGGTAATAATCATTCTCCGAACACTCATTACCCGATACAGTGACAGATATCTTGTTTCGGATAACGAAAATGTGTTTTGCGTGAAATCACTTTTCGAGCTCACTCTCACACTGCTCTCCAAAACACTGCCAAAAATATCCAAATGTGTACTATTAAAATTCGTAAAAGAATCGGGGGCTTGTTTGAGGAAAGGTCGTGTCACGGGTTCTGCACTGCTATAAACAGTGAGCTTCAGCTTATCATATACTGAAGTGAAAACCGGTCAAACACGATAAGCAATGAAACTGGACATTTGTAACTGTATCATATAATGACTATTAACCACACAACTTCACTCAGGTTTGAAAACATGATATACAAGATACAAAACCAGGCTCATTTATTCTTCATGTCCAATAAACGGGTCTTCGCGGTCGTGTCCCGAATGTTTTGGTTATGAAGTGACACTATCAAGCCTTGGCTACCGAATGAGGAAAACGACAGGTGTCTAACTCTTTTTGTTCTTGAGTTATTCAAGAAATAGTCACACGCACGCACTTTTTAAACGAATAGTAATGAGACAAATTGGTTAATTAATTAATGAAAGAACCCATGCTGTCGAAACCGGACGAAAACCGTAGTTAATCGCCGATTTTTGTCCGGTTTTGACAACATGGAAATGTCACACAAGATTAAAGCTATTCTAAACTCGTCGATATTCGTGTACAAAATTTCACCCATTTCAAGACAAAACTATTTACAAAAATCCTCTTTTGTTTGTCAATGGAAAACAGAACGCACTTTTACAGTTCCCCCCGAATTTCTTTTAATTATATGAATTCTACTGGACTGTAGTTCTTCAACCGTACTTGTCGTCAGGACGCTTCGTACCCTTCTCGTCGACACCATGCTTCAGTTTAAAACTTTCTTTTCCGGGATTTGTACGACCCAGTATTATTAAACCAGACTGGGAGACAAAATTAAACAAAATTCATCACATGTGCAAGAAAAGTACTGGAATCGGCAGCCAACAAAGATCATTCAGCAGCGGTGCAATAGATGTTCTGCTGATTGGACATTTGTAACTGTATCATATAATGACTATTAACCACACAACTTCACTCACGCTTTTTAAAATGTTTTGGGATACACCGACATTACCGTGAACGACATTACCGCGAAGGGCGACGAACGACATTATCGCGAATCGATATTTTAGGCTTATGAGAAGTATACTTGTCAAAATCGACCCGATTTTCCAGATTCTAGAAAATCAATTTCGATTTTCGATAAATAATTTCCAACATTGTTGAAATTCGACAGAGATTTTCTAAATAGTTGGAAAAGACAAAGTCCAGTTCCACCGCAGCTTTCTGAAGATCGCAAAGCGATTCGCTCTTGCTAAATATTCCTCATTTTTATGTCTAAATGTATCATGTTCCAAAAATGCAGTTGGTTCAATTAAGGGCCTCCCTCTCCCCCTCAGAAATGGTAATTTTCGGTCAAAACATTGGTTTTGAGATGAGCACATGGGAACATAGCCTGAAGTGTCTACTTCCAGAATCTGTATCACTTTTGGTTACAAAAGAGGACTTTCGCGGATTTTGACCAAGTTTTCTAGGAGCCTCGAAAAACCGGGTCTTCAAATAATAGCTTTTTCCTGGATTCTTATGCAATTAAAATTTTTCTGAACATACAGATATTTGTAGAGCACACGTTTCTGATTCAAATAATCTAATATCAGGCGATTTCAACAGTGATAACAAACTGAATCTGGCAGCGGCCAATGATCAGGACTTCAGCGTCAGTGTGCTGCTTGGCAAAGGGAACGGAAGCTTTCAGACTGAAGTTAAGTATGCGCTTGGTAGCAATCCAAGTTCTGTAACATCAGGTGATTTCAACAATGATCACAAACCTGATCTGGCAGCGGTCAACTCGGGCGACAATACTGTCAGTGTGCTGCTTGGCCAAGGTGATGGAAGTTTTCTGTCACAATATATCTATGCAGTTGGTAGGTATCCATCTTCTGTAATATCAGGTGATTTCAACAACGATGACAGACTGGATCTGGCAGCGGCCAACTGGGACGACAATACCGTCAGTGTACTGCTTGGCAAAGCGGATGGAAGCTTTCAGACTCAAATGAACTATACGCTTGGTGGCAGTCCAAGTTCTGTAGTATCAGGTGATTTCAACAATGATCACAAACTGGATCTGGCAGCCGCCAACTCCATCGATGATACCGTCAGTGTGCTGCTTGGTAAAGGGGATGGAAGCTTTCAGACTCAAATGAACTATACGGTGGGTAGGTATCCAAATTCTGTAATATCAGGCGATTTCAACAGTGATAACAAACTGGATCTGGCAGCGGCCAACTCTCTCGACGATACCGTCAGTGTGCTGCTTGGCAAAGGGGATGGAACCTTTCAGACTCAAATGAACTATACGGTTGGTTGGCATCCAAATTCTGTAATATCAGGCGATTTCAACAATGATCACAAACTGGATCTGGCAGCGGCCAACTCCTTCAACAATACCATCAGTGTGCTGCTTGGCAAAGGGGATGGAACCTTTCAGATTCAAACGATGTATACTGTTGGTATGAACCCAGTTTTTGTAATATCAGGTGATTTCAACAATGATCACAAACTGGATCTGGCGGTGGTCAACAGCAGATCTGCGGACTTGTCTGTTCTTTTGAACATCTGCAACTAATTAACCATGAAACTCTTCATTTATTGACGTGTGCACTGATTATTAATACTGCTTTTGGAGTAACCATCAGCTGTGATACTATATCATTTGCCTGATTTATCTTCAAGTCTATATTTGTAAATAAATTCAACGTGTAGATTTCGAAGAAAGTGAAACGTCTTCGAGGTCTTTAATACTGTAATCTAGAAACCAATGAACAAAGGCAAATATAGATAAAGTCACAGTTGAAAAGAGAAAATAGAAATGTTTTTCATATAAGATGAAGTCAATTTGACGATCAATGGCAGCGCGATCAGTCAGTACGACATACTTCGAAGACAAGAAATACTTAGTGATTAAATTATACATACCTTGTAAATTTATGAGCTGTTTGTGGATTTTCGTCAATTCTTTTTGGCGGTCTTCGTTGACGGTGTTTATAATTGAATTCCTTATCAGGATCAATCTCATAGCTTTTCGACATATTTTCACTCATTGTAATTAAATTATTTAAATTATCATCATTGTTTCGTTCACGTTCTAATAATTTAGTTGT